GAATTTAAAATTCAGTGATGGTGATGGACCAAACCTCTGTAGAGTAAAAAAGTAGATGTTAGTTCCACATTTATTGAAAATATATTTCGGTCTGGGTTGACCCTCGTCAGTTCTAACGATATAATAACCATCAAAATCGATAAAAAAAAATTTAAAAAAATGTAAAAATCACAAGAGGATAAACAAACAAAAAGATTATTCAAAATAAAAATTTGGGCTGTCAAATGGACATAAGGGAAAAGAACTCAGATTATGAGATGGAAAAAAGATAATTTGCAAATATTCACTTTCACGTTTAAAATATCATTTTAATCTTATTTGTAATTTGTTGCTAAAACTCATCAGTCGTAAATTAAAATAAACATTCTTAAATAAAAAAGAATTTATTCAGTGACTAACGATTGAAAAAAAAAGATATTATAAGGGAAATTGTTTTGTTCAAGGCTAAAACACTATTAGTTTTAAATTTGATTTTCTGCAAATAATTTGTTAAATTCTGAAAAAGTCTCAAATCTTTTTTTTAAATTGATCACAGAAAACTTTAGAACTGGTGCAAGAATATTTGCGAATTTAACGTTTTTTTCTGACTTACATTACATTAGTTATTTAATTTCCTCAAACAAGCAAAAATCTGAATGAATTTAAAAATTATGAATAAAAAAGTTCTCAATTCTTTTTTTAAAATGTATCAAAGAAAACTTTAGAACCATGGGGGAAGGTTGGTTTAAGCATTGTACTTCCTTGTTTTCTGCATTTTTTGCTTTACCTCTTTAACCCTAAACAGGTGGGGGGGGGGTGCGTTTGGCACCCTCCCCCCCTGTATTTTTTTTGTTCTAGCACTTTCATTTTTGACACTATCACCCTGAAATTTTGCGACTTTTAATGAAGAGTAATTTAAAGGACTTTTGTAAAAAAAATATATCTTTCGATTGATAGGGTAGGGTACAGGGCGGAAAAAAGTCCTGTCTGTGAAGAAAAAAAATCTAAAATAGCCCATAACTTTTATGTGACTAAAGCTACAGATCTAATAACTATAATTTTAAAAAGCCCTTGAAAAATGCACGTAGAATCATGTGTCACACTTCAATATTTGTTCAAATCAAAAAATAATTTTTTTTCCCCTTTTTTACCCTTTTTTAGGCATTTTTTTCCCACCCTCCCTAGCACCCAAACTATTAAAGTTATCAGTCTAGTTTTTTTCTTTTTGAGCTGTCCATGAAAAATTTGGCTATGAACATGCATTTCAACCCTATACCTATTCTCTAAGGCCTTCTTCTAGGGGGAGGAGGGGTGCTATACGCTCCCCAAGCTATACATAGATTCAGACCTCCCAGCCATAATAGGGTTCAGGATAGAAACGATAACAGTGTCTCGATCTTTTACATAATTTTAAGCTCGAATTCAAACCAAGCTTTTGTATATATTTTCACTTTTTAAACACTCGCTTCTTTAATTCTATTTCTACCGCTCTTTACATCTACCTTCTGCAGCTAATGCTTTTATCCTTTTATCCTTATTTTCTCTAAACCCTAAGAGACTTAATATAATAAATTCTTGAGTTTATAGAAGATGTAAGTTTTCAGCTCTTCATAAATAATCTTTTTATCAGATCCCGCCAGCTTTAGAGATGGGAATAGGGATTTCGTAACACAAATGATACAATGTGTTATTTTTTTTCAATGAACAGAGAGAACAAGAAAGCTTTAGAATAGGAAGAAGATTTTAATAATAAAAAGTCCAATGAAGGTGAGACACAGCAATTGTGCAGTGTAAACAGGCTCCATAAAGTCAATAATGATAAAATATATAAAAGTACTGCTTTAATTTTGTATTCCTATATTCCACAGTTTTCTGAATATGTATTTGATTGGGTATTTTACAATAAAGGCAATCTAAAAACGCTGTTTTCTGTATTGATATACAAAGTTATTTATTTTCCTTCCAAAACTAGTTTTGCGATTGGCGATGCACGAAAAATTACATTTTTAAAAACTGGTCCATGCCTTGTTTTTAATTTCAATTTTACTTGAGATATTAAGAATTTCGTATAGATCTTAATTTTATTATATAAAACCAAAGTTGTTTTTTGTGAGCACAAAAAATGCCGCAGATTTTCCAATTTCTATATTAGTACATTTAAACGCCTGCCTCTAATACTTTATATTAAGAATAACGCCCATCTGTACCCTTTAATATATCTAATCCATCTTTAAATCTCTTTTTCCCTGAAGCTAAACTACATACTGCACTTACCATAACAATTATATATATAAATAAATATAAAGACTAGGCTTGTAGGGCGCTCCGCGCGCGTCAATCTTCTATTTCAATTGTGAACATTTTCTCTTTGTTAAACAAAAACAAAACAAAAGTTTCAAGGATTTAAAAAATAAATTTTCGTGGATTTTCAAAATTTTCTAAATTCGAATTTGTTACAGACAAACTTTTGAAAATCCTTCCCTGGGGTCACGTGAGGTCCCAAAAAAAATTGGGGCCTGATCGGTTTTACTGTTTTGACGTTTATTGAACACAAACAAACAGACGGACACCAAGACAAGCAAAGTATATAAATAGATGATAGGGGTTTTGAATTAAACATTAATCATTANGGGGTGGCACCACCAACGTTTTTTTGGATTGAGGCTGTTCTAAGTTGACTTTTCTAATTAACAGAAGCTCGTCACTTTAACATCTACTGTCCATGAGTAGTCGTGGTGTACTGCCTCAATGCATCAATTTACCTTTACCAGACTAAATCTATATTTAGACCCAATTTTCGTTAATAGATTTCTACATTTCACGTAAAATGTCCTGTCTATTAAACGTCTTGTCTATGAAATATACTGTCTATGAATTATAAATGTATATTATGAAATGTTCTATCCAGGAAATGTCCTTGTCAATCAAATATATTATAAAATATTCCAACACACTTTGTACCACATAATCAAATAAAATTCGTCGAAGTTTGAAAATTAGTGTCTAGCGGATGGTTTTAAACTTTTAACAGAGATTAGGTTAGAAAATGCAAATACGAAATCGAATAGTAGCGAGGATCCGGATTCTAGATATTTTGGATCCCTGGTTTCAAAAATCTGGAATTCAAGTATTTTGGATCCCTGGTTAATTCCGGATCCAAGTGGGATTGTATTGACCATGGTTCCAGATCCAATTGGTAAATTATTTACAAAAATATACAAATATAATTTAAAAATACACTACCCTCTGAACTTGTTCTTTAACAAATCAAGCAAAGACAATTGACAAATTTACGCTTTAACAAAATTGGTTGATGAATTGATTAATTGATTAAACGATAGATTGATTAATTGGTTTATTGTTTGGTCACCTTATTCATTGAGCAATTGATCAATTGACTTATTGAGTATTTTTGATTAGTTGATTGATTTGTTTATTAATTGATTACTTCAGTGATTGATTTATATGTCAATTGATATGATTGACTAAACAAAAGATTGAATCATTGTTTAATTAATTGATTGGTTGAATACTTAATTGATTAATTGATTGATTGATTGATTGATTGATTGATTGATTGTCCAGGTTGAGCATATGTCTTGGGTGTCTATATTTGCTATTGTTCCGCTGTGTTTATCATCTATTGGAATCCTTCTAACCCTGGGAACTATACTAGTTCTTCTAAAACACAAGGATACACCCATAGTTAGAGCTTCAGGTAAACATCCTCCCTCCCCCTCCCATCCTCTCCTCCCTCCCCCTCCCCTCCTTCCCCTCACCTACTTCCTTCTAACTATTTTTTAGCAATTTTACTTTTTTAAAATTTTTAGGTAACTTTCCAAGAATTAGGTCTAGACTTTCCAACAAAGAAAACCATCCACCAACCCCCCCCCCCTCAAAAAAAAATTGTTTGCATTGAAGGGTATAAATACGCCTCTTTATAGGTCGTGAGCTGAGTTATATTCTTCTGTCTGGAATCCTTCTCTGCTACATCAATACATTCTTTCTCATCTCTAAACCTGGACAAATCATCTGTACTTTACAAAGGTAATTATCTATACTTTACAATGGTAATCATCTGTACTTTACAAAGATAATCATTTGTACTTTACAAAGGTAATTATTTGTACTTTACAATGGTAATCATCTGTACTTTACAAAGGTTATCCTTTGTACTTTACAAAGGTAATGATCTGTACTTTACAAAGGTAATCATCTGTACTTTACAATAGTAATCATCTGTATTTTACAAAGGTAATCATTTGTACTTTACAAAGGTAATTATCTATAATTTACAATGGTAATCATCTGTACTTTACAAAGGTAAACATTTGTACTTTACAATATAATCATCTGTACTTTACAAAGGTTATCATCTGTACTTTACAAAGGTAATCATCTATACTTTACAAAGGTAATCATTTGTACTTTACAAAAGTAATCATCTGTACTTTACAATGGTAATCATCTGTACTTTACAAAGGTAATCATTTGTACTTTACAAAGGAAATCATCTGTACTCTACAAAGGTAATCATCTGTACTTTACAATGGTAATCATCAGTACTTTACAATGGTAATCATCTGTACTTTACAATGGTTATCATCTGTACTTTACAATGGTAATCATCTGTACTTTACAATGGTAATTATCTGTACTTTACAATGGTAATCATCTGTATTTTACAAAGGTAATCATCTGTACTTTACGAAGGTAATCATCTGTACTTTACAAAGGTAGATCATCTGTACCTTACAATAGTAATCATCTGTATTTTACAATGGTAATCATCAGTTGCCTGCTTTCTCTCTAGCATAACGGACCTACTATGCAGTCCCAGAATTGCAGCTGGGGAAGCGCTGTGTTTAGTTACGCATCTAGTATCCTACAGGGGAAGCAAGAATTGTACATAGATTAAAACAAAACTTCATCTTCAGCTTGGTTCACTGAAAGAGGAGTTTAACCCCTCGTGGGAATACAAGCCATGCACAACGATACCAGTTTTTTACTTGACCAGATGTGAGGACTGGACTGCCATTGAAGATACCTCTCAATAGAGCTTTCAGGGATCACAACTCCCCATTTTGCATATGGGGTGCAGTTATGGGTAAATTCCTTAATTCCCCTAACTGGGAAACAGTATAAAATGAAGGAACACAGGGAGAAATCCCCTATACCCTTCTTCCTACAAACCTCCTTATCTCTCTCCTACCTGCTCCACAACTCGATGTTAAAAGAACTATTTGGAAAGGCCTTAAAGTGTAAAAACAAGAAACAAGAAGCAAGAAGAAAAAATAAATTGAACAGAAAAAAGTGGAAGGGAAATCTCTTGACAGTAGAGATGGGTGCTTAAAGAAAGATAAACAAGAAAGAAGAGGAAAACTTTGAACAGGAAAAATTAGAAGGAGAATACACAGGATGCCCCCCTCACCCCTCTCCCCCTCCAAGAAAAGCTAGGAATGCAGGAGCTGACTAGACACAGTATCATGACTGAAGCAAAATTTAAATATAAACAAGGGGGAGAGTAACCTTGCCAATCTCAATATATAGAATACAGATACAGGGCTTCAAAAAATAGTTCTACCTCTGCAATTTGGCTAGCTGCAGAAAACATCCAAAAAATTCATTTATTTTTATTTTCAAAATTAGCCATAGTGTGATTGAAGGATGGACAAGGAATAGAAGATCAAGAAGAAAGGATTAAAAACAAGAAATATAGAAGTCTCAAAATGTTTCCATCTGATATCATATTAAAATTTAAAAATATTGTAAAATTTAATTAAAATAAATTATTAAAGTTAAAAAAATGGTAATCATCTGTACTTTACAAAGGTAATATTCTTCTGTTTTCAAAGGTAATGATTTGTACTTTACAAAGGTAGATATGATGTACTTTACAATGGTAAGCATCTGTGCTTTATAAAGCTTATCATCTGTGCTTTACAAAGCTTTCCGTCTGTACTTTACAAAGCTTATCACCTGTATTTTGCAAATCTTATCACCTGTACTTCACTAAGCTTAGCATCTGTACTTTGCAAAGCTTATCATCTGTACTTTACAAAGCTTATTATTTGTACTTTACAAAGCTTAGCATCTGTACTATTCAAAGCTTAGCATAAGTACTTTACAAAGTTTAGTGTCTGTACTTTACAAAGCTTATCATTTGTACTTTACAAAGCTTAGAATCTGTACTTTACAAAGCTTATCATTTGTACTTTACAAAGCTTGGCGTCTGTACTTTACAAAGCTTATCACTTGTGCTTCACTAAGCTTAGCATCTTACTTTGCAAAGCTTATCATCTGTACTTTACAAAGTTTAGCATTTGTACTTTACAAAGCTTATCATTTGTACTTTACAAAGCTTATCATCTGTACTTTACAAAGCTTATCATTTTTACTTTACAAAGTTTAGCGTCTGTACTTTACAAAGCTTAGCGTCCGTACTTAAACAAAGGTAATTCTTAGACGATTTTAACGAATCGCTCTTGACCTCCCTGAAAAAAAGTTTAAACCAACCCTAGTTAAGAATCAGTACCGGTAATGTCACATTGAATGAAAGGGAGCTGTAAAATTGTTAACAGTCCCTTTAGCTCTGGAAATGATGTGTTTTGTCGGATTTGACTTATATTTGGTAGGAAATATAAAAGAGGGAAGAAAGAAAAGAAAACTTATTTCTTCTGATTATCATAAAATTAACATGTATATTAAATGTACAATACAGATGCATATATATTTATAAATATTTATGTTTATATATATATCTATATATGAATATCTGCATAAATATTATTGAGAATGTAAACAGCTTGTTAACGTTGTATAGTGTAAACTAGCATAGTTCTAATATTGGAAAGAAATAACTGGCCAAAATTAAGATAAACAAGCATCATAGTTGGTAAAAAATTCATTCAATCACAAGAAAAGCTGGCCACGCAAAAAAATATCACAAATTGGTCCGAAATTATCATTGAAATTGAAATTAACCTATTTTTCAATAAAAAAAATCAATATTTCTGTCTAAAACAAGATCATGTCAATTATAAAAGATAAGTAAATTATTTGTAAACTGACAACAGACATAAAACATAAAAAAAATCAATATTTCTTTAGAAACTAAGATATCAGTTAAAACAAATAAGTAGAATAATATTTATTTACTTAAAAAGTTAAACTTGCCGAAAAAAAACACACAAAAAACGTAAAGAAATTCCAAACGACCCATTTCTTTGTATTTTGCAATTGTTATCATCCCCCCCCCCCTCCCGTCCTGTGTTACGAATTTCTATGTATCTATATATAAATTTGGCTTGTCTGTCTTTTTGTTTGTATCCAATAAACGCCAAAACGGCTGAACCGATCGGGCCCAAATTTCTTATGGGATCTCACGTGACCCCAGGGAAGGTTTATGAATGATCAAAATTTTAACATTTTGTGTTTAAAAGTTTTTATTTTTGTAAAATATTTTTAAATCTTGAAAATCCGCAAATCTTTTTCATAAAATCTGCGAAATTTTTATCTTTTTTTTACGTTATAATGAGAACATGTTCATAGCTGTGGGGCGGTAGTCCCATCTAGATGACTTCTAAACTGCCAATTACAATTACAATTACAAATGGAATTGCAGCATTCCTCTTGCACCCAAAGTTCTTTTGATCTCGTCCCCAAATGGAATCAAATTAATTTTTATTGTATTTGTATTACGGTCGGAAGGGCAAAGTGGGGGGGTAGAAAAAAAAAATAATAAAAAATAAAACCTTTTTTTAGATTTGGTGTAGGAACCGGTTTCTCTGTAGTATACGGAGCACTTCTCACCAAAACAAACAGAATATTTAGGATCTTCCAATCAGCTGCCCAGTCAGCTATCAGGTAGTAATATCAGCAACTCAATCTATCAGGTATTAATATTAGCTGCTCAATCAGCTATCAGGTAGTAATATCAGTTGCTCAATCTATCAGGTAGTAATATCAGTTGCTCAATCTATCAGGTAGTAATATCAGTTGCTCAATCTATCAGATAGTAATATCAGTTGCTCAACCAGCTTAGTTGATAATATAAGCTGCTTATTCAGCTATCAGGTAGTAACATCAGTTGATAAATCAGCTATCAGATATTAATATCAGGAATTAAATCAGCTGTTAGGTATTAATATCAGCTGCTCAATCAGCTATTGTAATATCAGATGCCCAATCAGCTATCAGGTAGTAATATCAGCTACTCAATCTTTCAGGTACTAATATCAGCTGCTCAATCAGCTATCAGGTAATAATATCAGCTGCTTAATCAGCTAAAAGCAATTAATATCAGCTTTTCAATCAGCTATAATCTAGAAATATCAGCTTTTCAATCAGCTATCATCTAGAAATATCAGCAGCCCAATCTATTAGGTACTAATATCAGCTGCTAAATCAGGTATCATGGTACTAATATCAGTTGCTAAGACCATTAATATCAGCTGCTCAATCAGCTATCAGGTAGCAATAAACGCTGTATAATATGCTACAGAAAAGAAAGATGCATAGCAAAACCGTGGACAAATTGGAAAAATGGCGCTAATATTCCGAGATATTCAATACAGGTTCCCCTGCAGTGTTGGTTTATCATTCTCTTTGAAGTTTGTGGAAGTATTATTTCTGTTTGTCATGGTCTAAGATTTAAAAAGAGAAATATTTCAAGTTCTTCGAGTTAATAAACTGGATTCCAGCAAGAGGTGTCAGAAGGAGGGAGGAGGGTTTACAAACAAACTTTTGACAACTTAGTCCGAGAATATTAAATAGTACTTGGAACTTGTTTTTGCTGTGTTATAAACTAACAAACTCCCTCTCTCTACTACCCCCTCTTGTGTATCTATGCTGTTTAAAAGCTTGATATAAATCAAAATTGAAATAGTAAGTCAACTTCATTGTATTGATATAATCGCCTACCACCGTATTTTCTTTAAAGTTAGAACGGAATCTCAATACAGCCCCCCCCCCCCGAAATAACCGGCCATTTAAGGGTTATTATAAGTAATGAACCAAAAAAGTTTTTTCCCAGTGGAGACCCGGGGGATTTTTATTCAATGCAGATTGCAGAATACGTAAATCCACTCAATCCCCCACCGTTAAAATGTGTAAAGGTAATTTGCACTGTAAATTATGTTTTACAATGTAATGCATAGAAAGTTTCAAGGTATAAAAAGATTTTTTTCTTTCGCTAGTTTTTCTTGTTTAACAACTCTTAACACTACAGGGTTTCTCACATAGGATGAAATCTAACTGACGATTTAAAAACGAATTTTTTTTACAGATTCGTTTGTTACCTCCAATACGTTTGTTACCTTCAACATGTTTGTCACCACCAACATGTTTGTTACCTTTGTGTGTTAGCTGCAACATGTTTGTTACCTTCAACATGTTTGTTACCTCCAACATGTGTGTTAGCTGCAACAAAACGAATTATTTTTTAATTGATATATTGATATATAGCGTTGAAGTAAAAAGTAGCTTTTAAATGGTTTGGGACAAATCTAACATGATATGATCAAACACGAGACCACAACCAAAATTTGTATTTGATTCTTACATCATTTTTTTCAGACCATCGTTGATATCACCGTACTCTCAGGTAGATTTTTAAGGTTTTTTATAAAAAAAAACATATTATGTCTCAAGTCATGTAGTGGATAATTCTTAATTGGCATTTTTTCGACATTATAACAAGATTGAACCTATAAGAAAAGTAGAATCAGTAAAAATTGTCAAGAATTACATAATTTGTAATGATGTCGACTGAACATAGTTTACGAATTGCATCATTGCATGTGGGGTTCATTTAGCAAGAAACACTTTAAAAAGAATAATCAGCATAAAAAATGCAGGTCTTCATCACGTTGTGTCTAGTATCAGTTCAATTCTGCGCTACAGTCGTGTGGTGTTTCATTCATCATCCAGGTATTCATTTATTCATTCATTCCCCCATTCATCCTTTCATCCTCCACCTATTCTTTAATTCATCCATTCATCTTTTCATTTAAACTTTAATCCTGTAACATTCATTTATTCATTATTTTGTCCAATGGAAGTGAAACAAACAGTTTACTTTGATGTATTATTTTTATAACGGTTTATTCACAATAGTACGTAAATACATTTATTAATGGTGCAGTTTAAATGTTTTATTTATAGTTTTACAAAAAATATGCAAAATTTTGCAAAAATAGGCGACTTTTATCATTACTCATTGAACAACATATTTATCATTTCATTTATTCACCATCAAATCCTGCAACATAAAAACTATTCATTCTTATATTTAATAGTTCTTGTAAAATCAGAACTTTCTGTGCAGGCTCCAATGGGACATCAAAATATTTCAAATGTTTCTTAAATCATAACTAATATTAATTTAGATCAGATTGATTTACAAAATATTCATTTGCAATGGAAAATAAATTTCTGCCAAGAACTGTGTTTAGATCATTTTAACAATAGGATCACAAGAAACTAGTTTTATTAAAACAATAATAAAGTAAACACCTTGCATTTAATCACCTTGACTGTATGTATTGTACAGGAGTACTGTACGACTACCCGAGACGTGATCAAGTAATCTTGAAGTGTAATATCAACGATTCATCTTTTGTTATATCACAGGTAGATATACGCTGGGTTACACTAAGCATAATAATTTTCTAGACAACGCACATGATATTGGATAAATGCATGATAATAAAAACACAGTAAGAAGACTCTTCATCTTCTAAACGATAATGATACCTCTATTGTATACAAAACTAGCCAGTGTGCACCCATGGGATCTCAGAAATAGCCAGGGTCACGCATAAATTTCACTATTGACGGGGATTATTAATTTGGCGTACTGTTCAGTTTTTCTCACATAGTCTGTATATGTACAGTCATAACCAGAAAACTCTGTTATAGGAAGACGACTTTAAGACTCAAGTTTTAACTTTAAAAAGTCCTATGAGCTTGGGACACTGCAATTGCAAAGTAAAACAGACACATTTCACTTAATTAGTGATTTAATAAGTGTAAAACGTTTTGCATTGTAACAGCCAAAAATGCACAAAAATAAATTACTATAAAGTCGTCGTCTTCCTATTTCAGAGTTTTCTGGTTATCACTGTACTGTATTTTTACACCTTTATCTATCAGGTCCAAAGTCGTCCTGGTATTTGAAATTAACCGGAGTTTTTAATATTATATCGTCATATTTAAAGATTCTTAGGGCGTCATTGAAGTCTTATTCTTTGTTGTTAGTCCTGTACTTTAAATGTATCATTTACTCTCAGACAAATTAGAATCAATGGAAATTTGTCTGAGAGTAAATGACATTCCTTTTTAAAGAGGGGATTCAATAATAAACCCGAGGGCTTGCGGATTTTTTTATGCCTTTGTAGATTTTCAAAGTATCTTTCAATGAAAATATCCCGGCGGGATTATATGAAAATTGTTGCATACCAAAAAACCAGCTTTTTATAAAGGAATGAAAATTGCAACATGAATTGAAAAACTGGGCTAGAATTGGAAAATGTTCAATGAAACTTTACATTAAAGATATTTTGTTCATTAAAAGTCAATTAAAAACTTAGATTAGTTTGATGGAGAGAATACCTTTGAGGTCAATTATGGGATAGATTTAAACATGGAGGCTTTTAAAACTTGAAAAACTTTAAAATTTAAAAAATGTAAATTTTTTACCAAGCTGAGCTGCTCTAAATTTAATTTTAATCTCAAGTATGAGAAAAGCAAGGGATTGAGTATTCGACACAATCCCAATATTTTTTTCATTTTAATCCCTAATCTGTGTCTCTAATCCCCCCAAAAACCGGTTTTAATTGAGCGCCGGCTAAAATCTTGAAAAATTGTATACGGTTTTATGGAAGCAACCATATTTGAGCCCGGCTCAAATTCTTTAAATACGGCCTCTGATTATGTAACTATATGATTCTTTAAACCTTGATTATTTAATCTCAGAGAATTCATAATTTGAAAAATCTAAGATTATACGACATTGGGTTGCAAAGATTAAGGGATTAGAAAATTTTAATATTTATTAGAAAAAAAATGATGTTTGTTCTTCTCGAAACCTATTCAATAAGAAGAGTTATGATTTGAATTTTGCTTGCAATTTACATTAGTAGTCGTGTACACGTCAAAGAAAACTTTGTATATTTTTTAAAAATCGAAATTTTTAAACTGATTTTTATCAAATTGTTAAGCCTTAAAATTTATGAAGTTTGTCAAGATTCCGAATTTTAAAATAAAATCTAAAATATCTGACAAAAAGCATTTTTAAAAGCAAATAAAAATGCACCTTAAATTAGAAAAACTCTTTTCTATATTTACAAAATATAGTTTATTCAAGTCAATATATTTGTTTTATCTATAGATCTTTCAAAACAAACAAACCAACCAGATATCGAAACTTGTTTTGTTTATCTTGAACGTTTGTTCTCGATATCCTATGTGGGCACTTTAAGATTGATAATTAGTGCTTGATCCTGAAATCAAAGTTAGAAGTGCAGGGCATAACCACTATGAGATATCGAAGAGGAAATAAAATAAGTCGTAAGTCTGCTTAAGATGAAGATCAATTAGTAATCCCGGAGATTAAAAACACAAAAGTGCTTCAGACTAATCAAATATTTAGTTTATGTTTGTTTATAATTCAAAAGTTGGATTCTCACGCAATAGAATTAATAAATAAAATCGAGCTCACCGAGGGGAGGAAGGACAGCCACATCAATTTTTCGTCCAAGCCACATTCTCCTCATTTTCTCGTCCGAGCCACCTCGGAATCCTCGTCCTTCGAATATTTTGTGTTTAAAAGTTTCCAGTGCTTGAAGATAAAACTTTTTTTTTTTAAATCGGGCCACGTTAGGGCAAAAAATGGGATGGACTAAAGTATTGCATTGGATCTTCAAACCCATGAGAATGATGTCAAACTTTATTTAGGTAAAACTTAAATCTCTTCTGCCTCCGTAATGGCTATCCTTCACTTGATAAAAATGAATAGCAAAATATTTAGCACACCCCAGCCTAGCATTTTCCCCATGGTACCACCCTTAAAAGTTCTATGGTTTTCAATATAGGTACCAAAAAAGATTGCAGTTCTTTTGGAATTATTTGCGGCATTCTACACCAGGAGTATCTGAAAATGCGCGTAAAAAAAGTGAACATTTATAACGACATTAAACTTGAAATCTTTAATTCAATTGAAACTTTTTTTCGATTTACAAAAATTTGATATAATTCCTTCAATGTTGAAAGGATGATGATTTTGATGTGGCTCAGACGAGAAAATGAGGGGAATGTGGCTCGAAAAAAATTTTTTGTGGTTGGCTTTCCTCCCCTCGCTCACCCCACTCTAAAAGTTTCATGATCCGAGCGGGTACTATGCGTACTGTATATGCATTCAGTCGTGCCGTCCAGTCTGGACTACCCAGTGTAAAGTCGACCGAACACGTTTAACGCAACAAACGTAGCCTGGCAAGGTCAAAGTTCTTTAATAACATAAGCAGTCCGGACCCCCCCCCCCCCTGTAAGTGTTAGCGTGCAAGGTTGCTTCATTATTATTTTTATATCTATTTACAGCGAGAACTAGAAAATTGTGGAATAAGAAGACGACATTATTTAAGTGTATTTAGATTTTGTTTATTTAATCACTTATTAAGTGAAATGGGTCTATTTACACTGACTAATTGCTGTGTCTTATGTTCATTGGACTGTTTAAAGTCATAACTTGAGTCTTAAATTCGTCTTCCTATTCCAGGGGGTTCTAGGTATTACTTGCCTAAAATTTCTAATAAACGAAATATAAATATATGTGAACGAATTAAATATATTAAAAAAATACAATTTTTAAGAACGTAAACGTCGTGCTCACCTCTATATATAGAAGAATTTAGATTCAGAAATACATTCCTATTCTATTCTGGAAAACTTTAAAATAGAACAAATCAAATTATAGAGTTAATTGAATAGATTAATAAAAAATCCAAATTCCGATAGTTTAAACAAATATTTAAATGCCAACTTAAAGGGACTGTACTCTTGATTAAAGGTTGGGAGCCCAATCAGAATATAGGGATCCCAATCAAAATATAGGGAGCACAATCAGAATATAGGGAGCCCAATCAGAATATAGGGAGCACAATCAGAATATAGGGAGCCCAATCAGAATATAGGGAGCCCTATCAGAATATAGGGAGCCCAATCAGAATATGGGGAGCCCAATCAGAATATAGGGAGCCCAATCAGAATAAAGGGAGCCCAATCAAAATATAGGGAGCCCAATCAAAATATATGGAGCCCAATCAGAATAAAAGGAGCCCAATCAGAATAAAGGGAGCCCAATCAGAAAATATGGTTTGTAAAGAAAAATATATTACAATTTCCCTAATTGGTTAAAAGGTTCCTGCAAAGCGAAACTCATTTTAGGATTAAAAGAACTGAATTGAGCTTAATTTGTACCAAGCCAAAGATTGATTCCTAGCTGTAGTTTTACGAAATTGTTTGTAGCAAAAACTTTTGTGTTTTCTATTTGATTTTCCCGCATTTTCAGTTTGGAAAGTTTTGCTTAGAATTTTGTGAGAAAACATGTGATACCTACTTAATTTAATGAAATGAAAAACACAATAAAAATAAACCTAAGAAATTTAATTTAAGACTAAAAAGTTAAAAGCTAACTTGTAAGCTAATTCCTTAATTCCTTTGTGTGCCAAATCAATTGTGTATAAAGTGTAGTATCAAATGTAGAAGTTTTATAAAAGTTATTTTCAGTTCTCTAAATTCAAAGTTCAGAAGGTAAAGAAACAATGAATCCCCTTAAACTACATTTGAAAAATCAAGTTTTACCAGAATCTTAAATCTACTTGGACTGAATTTAATGAATTGAAGAGATGGCTGAACTACCTGACTCAAAATATTTAATCTTGAATCGATGAATCAAGGTTTGAACTGCGGCGGAAGGTAGTTCAGTGAACTAACTAAATTCATTAAATTAGGTTCCTGAGTCCTATTTGAACTGCGTCTAAGCGCGATTCAAACATAAGACATGGTTCAAATTGTAATAAGTGTGTTGAGATTTCAGCCGGGGCTTAATTGGAGCGATACGGTTCAAATTGTTAAAATTCAGCCACGAATTAGGTAAAATGAAATGAGTACATGTAAACTGCACAATTACTGTGTTTTATGTTGATTGGACTTGAATCTAACAGTCGTCCTTCTACTTCATGATTCTTCCAGAAGTTTTTACTGATTGTTGTTTAGGTGTACAACATGCTGCTGATCAGTGTATGTACAGTGTACGCAATCAAGACAAGGAAGGTTCCAGAAAACTTCAATGAGGCCAAGTTTATTGGGTTCACGATGTACACAACATGCGTCATATGGCTGGCCTTCGTGGCACTGTACTTCGGGACAGGAAACTCATACGAGGTTGGTTTTCAACAAAACTAAAATTCTGATATTTTATCCAATGCACAAATGTAGATCCAAGAAACTAAACACTCCCTACAAACTCTTTTTGTCTAATATTAATTCTATATCTTTGCACCTTGACGGTGTAAACCTATGCAATTTTGAACTTGAGCTTTTTAGATCTGGCAGATTTTAAATCAAATGCTTACGACATTAGGCCGCAAATATGAAAGGATAAGAAGATATGTTTGTGGCGAGCGTTTAGTTCCTTTGAAACTATCCTGTTTGAACTACCGTCGTTTGAACTATTGTTCCTTGAACTATTAACATAATAGATCAACCTTAAAAATAGTGCAAATGAACATAAAAATAGTTCAAACGAACCATAAAAATTGTTCAAATGAAATAATCAAAAACATTAAATTAGTTCAAATGAACAAAAAAATTGTTCAAATGAACATAAAAAATGTTTTTCAAAAGATTCAAATAGATTCAGGAGTCTAAATGAATTATGGTTTACAGGAGTTCAACACATTTTTAGACTATTTTTTGGTTCTTTTGAACTATTTTTATGTTAATTTGAACTATTTTTATGTTCATTTGAACTAATAGCCGCAGCGGCCTCGGCCCCCTGGCCTGTCCTAGCCGCATTGCTTGGCCCAGACACTGTCATATCCTATGCCAACCCTTAGTAATAAACTAGCCGCAGCGCTCGGCCCTCTAGCCTGTCCTAGCCTCAGCGCTCGGCCCAGAAATTGTCTTAACCTAACCAAACCCATAATTAATACACACTTTTGAACTATATTATGGTTTATTTGAACTATGTTTGAGTTTGTGTTCATTGGAAATATTTTTTTGTAATTGTTTAAACAATATCTTTAATTGTATGGCCTAACTTCATGAAATTATAACAAAATTTCAAAAACTAAATTATAGAAAAATAGTTCAAATGAGCAAGTAATGTGTTGATTTTAACTACAGGGTATGACGTCATGTCAGTAGTTGTTTATTTGGTTGCATAATAGAAATATGCTTCTCAAACGCTTTTCCTAAAGAGGAGTTATGATTAAAAACATGTTATAAGAAGTCTTTCTAACAATTTTGATTATATTTAGATACAGATAACTACTCTCTGTGTGTCTATAAGTCTAAGGTGAAAAAAATCTACTTTTTCAACCAAAAGTTCTGGATCCAATTCCCCCTAATCTATCCTTCTTTTCTAGAAATTGTTTACTCTAATTTAGATACCTAATATGTCAGCGAAAAATAATCTTTTTGAATTGAAAATCTCTTTAGATCAATCTGATTTTTTACTGAATTTAAACTTAAAATCAAATCAAATCAAAGAATATGCAACTGCTTTACACTCGCTGTACATAATATCATTAGACTGCAGAACGTATTATGTGTCCTATGGTGCGAGGACTTACCTCATATGTTTATGTACATTGTACATGCAGCATACTGTTCCAAAGTCAGATTCATTTAAATATAACGGACTTTTAGTTGTAAAGTAAACATACAGACTATAGACAACAAAACATACAGACTAAGACAGCAAAACATACAGACTATAGACAGCAAAACATACAGACTATAGACAGCAAAACATACAGACAATAGACAGCAAAACATACAGATTATAGACAGCAAAACATACAGACTATAGACAACAAAACATATAAACTATAGACAGCAAAACATACAGACTATATACAGCAAAACATACAGACTATAGACAGCAAAACATGCAGACTATAGACAGCAAAACATACAGATTATATACAGCAAAACATACAGAGTATAGACAGCAAAACATACAGACTTTATACAGCAAAACATACAGACTATATATAGCAAAACATACAGACTATAGACAGCAAACTTACAGACTATAGACAGCAAAACATACAGATTATAGACAGCAAAACTGGAACGTACATCAAACGAACCATCCCCAGCTAGACAGATTCATGTCACCATCGATGTACAGTGATATACAAAATTTGCACGGTGGTAGGCGATAGTATGAATATCAAGAAGACGATTTTGTGATCCAAGTTCTCATTGTTAACAAGCTTTTTGCAAATTACAAGTTTATAAGTAATTTAAGAGAAGCTTTTTCCATTTGTTTGTGTAGCAATGCTGTTTAATTCTTAATATAAATTAAAATAAAAATCAAAAGTCGTCTTCATTGCATTGGTATAATCGCTTACCTCCGAATTTTCTGTATGTATATGTATATTATTGTATTGCAGTGGATATGTATCCCTGATATGCCTGTACAGCCCAAAGCTGTACATAATACTTCTGCATCCAGAGAAGAATGTACGACGACTCACGATGAACACGACGACCAATAATAGGTAAAACACGCATATGATAGGCCGGTTAATGTAAAAAGTCTGGCCGCGCCATCAAAGTTGAAACCGAGCCGGCATAGGATAGGGTCAGACCGGTTCTTGCCACGTGTCACTAAGGCCGGTACAAGGGGTCGGTCTGGTTCGAATTTAAATTGGCCCTTGTCCATCGTGAGCAGCAATTGTTGCAAAATAAGCGATTTTTTGTTGACTTTTTTGCAGCCACCCAACTTTTGCTGCCAAATGAGCGATGTTTTATTCGAAATTTATATGAAAAACTAGCACTCTGAAAATATTTCCTTTTTGAACATTCCTTTACTTCAGTTTTGGTTTTAAAACTTTTCTTCATTAATTAAGAAAGATGTTTTTGCCATATCTTTGATGTAGAAAAGCTCTAATCCCACTCTTTCCATAATTAACTCTGCCTACTTTAAACACGTAAAATCAATATGTATTTTTTATTTAAAATAAGGATAAGAATTGAGTTTTTGCCAAAAATCCTTCTATCTTTGCGACCTACGTTTTGTTAGATAAAATAATCAAATTTGAAATATCAAGGGTTTAAACAATCAAATTAAACAGTTAGAGGAATTATAAAATCTGAGTTTTGGCTTAGCCTCAATTCCTTTGTTAATAATACGATAAAATTTATCTTGGAAAAATATGTCCTATAATAATTTTATGGATTGATTTATCAAAAAAAGATATCAAATGCATTTCGATGTAATCTGCTTGTTCATGTTTTTTTAATATTATGCTTGCTGAAGGGCTAGGCGTTGCCTGTGAAATCCTTTTTTTTAAATAAATCAAATTTTCTTCAGCCTTTGTCACCTCCAGGCTACCCATGAGTGTCCACACAAAATGTCAGCCCATTCGGTCCAGCCGTTTGGCCGCGGCCAGAGGGAACATATTTACGAAAGTCTTATTTTTCCTTTATATTAAACACTTTCTCATTTAGAAATGCTGGACAGGGGTTTCCTTACCAGGAGAAAATGAACGTGCACAAGAAGAATTCAGGTCATTAAAGGGACTGATTCCGTTTTTCGGAATATAAATGAACGATTTTGTGTCTTCTCGACCAGCCTTAAATACTGGGGATCTGGCAAAAATGTAATTTTCACATCAAAACATTGGAATTTAGAATAAAAAAAAATTTAATATTATTTTTTTCTTTAATTTTTTATTGACTCTTTTTCCCCACGGGAGCTTTGGGGGTAGAGTCTCTCAAGTACTTCAAATTGCTTGGAGACGGAGTAGGAAGTTAAAAAAAATATTGAACATTTTTTTTACAAATTTGTTATGATTTTTCATCATATAGACTTTTTTATAATTTTTATAACATGTTATTACATGGGAGTATGACATGTTATTACAGGGGAGCATAACATGTTATTAAAGGGTTGTATAACTTGTTATGACATGGGAATATAAAATTTTATTACATGGGAATATAACATGTTATTACAGGGGAATATAACATGTTATTACAGGGGAGTATAACTTGTTATTACAGGGGAGCATAACATTTTTATTCAAGGGTTGTATAACTTGTTATTACATGGGAACATAAAATGTTATTACATGGGAGTATAACATGTTATTACAGGGGAATATAACATGGTATTACAGGGGAATATAAAATGTTATTACATGGGAGTATAACTTGTTATTACATGGGAATATAAAATGGTATTACATGGGAATATAAAATGTTATTACATGGGAGTATAACATGTTATTACATGGGAATATAAAATGTTATTACATGGAAGTATAACATGTTATTACATGGGAGTATAACATGTTATTACAGGGGAATATAACATGTTATTACATGGAAGTCTAACATGTTATTACAGGGAAGTATAACATGTTATTACATGGAAGTTTAACATGTTATTACATGGGAGTATAACATGTTATTACATGGAAGTATAACATGTTATTACATGGAAGTATAACATGTTATTACATGGAAGTATAACATGTTATTACATGGAAGTATAACATGTTATTACATGGAAGTATAACATGTTATTACATGGAAGTATAACATGTTATTACATGGAAGTATAACATGTTATTACATGGAAGTATAACATGTTATTACATGGAAGTATAACATGTTATTACATGGAAGTATAACATGTTATTACATGGAAGTATAACATGTTATTACATGGAAGTATAACATGTTATTACATGGAAGTATAACATGTTATTACATGGAAGTATAACATGTTATTACATGGAAGTATAACATGTTATTACATGGAAGTATAACATGTTATTGCAGGGGAGTATAACATGTTATCAGCGAAGCCCCACCAACCCATCAGCGCAAACTGCTCACTCAAGAAAAACATCTGTGAGAATGAAAACAATCATACAAAAAAGATGTCGACAGTTACATTTTGTCCTCGCAATGGAGGTTAGTATTTTAGTTTAAAATTAATAAAAATAATAATTGTTTTCTTCCTTTTTTGTTATTTTCTACAGAAGTCGGAATTTTTGTGTTGTGAATAAGCATTGATTTACTTAAAGGTACTGTCAGCGTAATTTCAAGTGACCCTTCATGCAAACATGGCACTGTCCGATTCACAAAACGGTATCCTTGGAACCTTTACCTGATCAATAATGTGGCAGCTAAAATATTGTCATTTTACTAGGTTTAAGAGTGTTTAACTTTTATAATTCCAATATGTTTTCCTGGGGCAGAAATGCAACAAGTCACTGTAGTAGAGAATCTACAATTGAATTTAATCAGTTTTAAACACCAATATATAATTCATACTTTAGGGTACCGTTGTGAATCGGGCATTGCCATTTGTGCATTTCATTTGTTCAAAATTAACCATACAGTCCCAATTTAAATTGAAAAGTGTCCACAATGTCAAGATTAGTAATCCTTTACACAAAAGTTCCATGCTCAAAAAGTTCCATACTCTAAGGACAACTCTTAATATTGTGGCATGCTAGATTCACAACGCTATCATTTGAGTAATGGTATTAATTGAGTGAAAATGAGGAAAATATCGTCTTTAAAAGTGTTAAATTCTAAAAAATGCCCTCAATGTGTCGTCAGCATGAATCCACTGCACTTACTTTATTATTAATATAGATACCACTGTAATCCCTTTAAAAAGAAACTTTAAAAACATCTGACTGAACTGAAAGCAGCTTTACAATCAATTTAATGGTATTTAGAATAAACTTTGTAAAGTTTTAATATGCAACATTTTTTCCAAACAATCAAAATGTCAGCACTCAGCATGGCAGTGGAAATTTTGCTTGAATTAAAATGTGTTTAGATAAGAATAATTACAAAATTGGATTGACATTTCTAAAACTTACAGACAGCTAGGGTTACCCATGCGACCAAAACTCTAGTGCCGCAATGTTAAGGTTAAAAACAGTCTTCCGTTTTTGTAAAAGTTAACGATTTTCCAGAGAAATTAGACAGTTTGCTGTTTACTGAATGACTTTGTGACCTCGTAGCTCTTTGATTTTGTTTGCTGTGGTATGAGAAGAAAAACAAGTTTTTTCGGTTTAATAAAAAACCTTTAAAGCATTAAATTATTAAATTATTTGACTCGTAAAGTCGTCTCTGAAGTATCATTCTTAGGTAATTAAACACATGTATTTATTGTAGGCGGTGTGGTAGAAACTGCAATAGTGACGGTTAACTCGAAACCAGGTACATATTACAGTACAGTACAGTACAGTACAGTACAGTACAGTACAGTACAGTACAGTACAGTACAGTACAGTACAGTACAGTACAGTACAGCACAGCACAGCACAGCACAGTACAGTACAGCACAGTACAGTACAGTACAGTACAGTACAAATAGTAATGTGCAGTACAGATATTTATGTACGTACAGTACAGAGCATTCATACAGACAATTTCAAATATTTCTAAATATTTCTATGCATTACCACAAATTGTAAAGGTTATGTTAATTCTTGAAAATTGTACGAAATTTGACAATTTGATATTTAATAAATATTCTAGACATTGTGGAAGAGGTACTAGAGTCTATTCAACAGGAAAACAAGTAATATTTTAATATTATCTCGGAGAACCCAGCTTTGCCCAGGGTACTAATAGTTACTCCCGCCGTTTTACTTAGGATTGTTGCTATTTTTCCAAAGAGAATAGAATATATAGTAGAGGGGAATTTACTAGAAAAAAATGTAAAACGGCCATTTTATATTACATATATACATATACATATATATATATATATATATATGTGTGTGTGTGTGTTCTATTCTCTTTGTATTTTTCCCTGAAAGCAAACCAAGCTAAGAACATTTCCGTGGTTCTCCCAAGTTCCCCAATCTCAATTTAAGACAAATTGTCAAAGGAGTTCATGAGTTATGATCAATTAAACAAACAGAGATTTCCACTTTATTTATATATAGATTAACTCGGAAACCATGCTTTGCCCGGAAACAAATATTATAGTCAACTCACTTAACTTATACCCGTGCAGTTCTGAGTTCCTCTATCAAAATTTGAGATAATATGCATTTGCACAAAACTGTATAGACTATAGATGCATCTCTTATCCTCATGTGCTTTTCACGAATACATTAAACATTAATCTTTTGCAATATCATCTAAGAGGCGATTTTTTCTCTCTTTACCCTGAAACCCTGTCTAAAAATGAAATTTGATATCTTCAAAATTGACTAGACCCATTCACATTCACAAACCTGGTTTTTGACAAAAACGTATGCAGCTGAAAGGTAATGGCAAGGCTAGGTATCAAAACTTATTATCATGATTGTTTACATCGAAAAGTACAAATGGGAAATTTATCTTTATTGTTCTAATTTATAAATAAAGAATTAAAGAATTCTATTGACCATCCCCCCCTCCGCCCGTCCCCTTGCTTCCCAATATGTTTGAAAATGCAGTGTTAGTAAAATCTGTGAACCGAATACAAGACTGCAGTCATTCAATTAACTTCAAGAGTAACTGGAAATGGACAGATTGGGGGCAGGAGGTTGCTTTCTGGGCTCAGCCCCTCCCTCCCTCCTGGAAAGATTGTTGTTTCGATTTACGGAGAAAACCAGGGAAAGTTTGAGACTCTCCCCCCCCC